CCTACGAGAAATTTTCGGAAAAAGGTTAAGGGGGAGGGGGTGGGGGGCTCAGGAGAGGGGGAGAATTTTGATTTTGAGACAATAAAAGTTACTTGATTCCCCATAAGGCTCTCATACACTTTCAATCTTCTATATTTTAAGTTTAATTAATGAAATCCTGGAAACTAACGCTTGATTAAAAGATAACAGGGAAAACCACAACAATAAAGGAAGAAGAATTGTCTTGGGCCTGCATGGTACATCAGAGAAACTGCATTATAATTACAAATGCCTCGTAGTCAGACCCTCTCGCCACAAGTCGAGGGCTCTTGTAGCTCAACTAGTCTCTACTAGATTCATTTAGTCTTAGAGGTTACAGAGCAGCATGTTGTTTCCTGCCTTTTTCTTTATATTTTGTGTTACCACAGCCAGAGTCGTTTCTGAGTGAAAAATTAAGTAGCTCAGTTGGTCGAGGATTGCGTCACATCTCTGTATGATCAACCCACGCAAATGAGTATAGCAGGGGTGCTAAACTTTTACGGGTAAATGCAACTATAGCTGGCTTTCTTGGCAAACATTGAAAGCCTGTGATTAAACGTTTTCTCGCCAAACAGGGGAAACTTTTACTTATTTCAATACTTCTAAAGAGCTAAGTCTTTGCAAGTTGACAGAAACGAATGGAATGGCTAAAAAATTTCTTATGAGCAAACTTTTTGATAGACTTAGCCGGTTGGATGGACGGTCCAATCACACGGTAAAATGTATCAAATTTTTAACCCTTAGCCGTAAAAGTCATTATCCCATTCAGAACCCGGTCTTTCCCTGCGAAGTCCGAGAAATATTTCAATTTTTTAAATTTAACAGGTATTTGGTCTATTTCATTGAATCTTATATATCTTAAAAGGATTTTTTCTAAAAATTTCAACGTATGAATCGGAAATAATTTCAAATTCTAGATAATAACGCAGGTGCCTCAAATATAAGAGTTGTCTGTGCTAAATTTTCATCGCTAATGTTTGGTGCAAAGCTGAGTGTTAGGGAAAAATCATAATACATAGATCTTGCAGCCTACAGCCTCCTAATGCTTTCTTTAGTAAGTCAACGATTTTATTTTGGGTATAAATAAATGAATAAACTTTCAAGATCGTGTAGTCTTTTTTTACTTTCAATTAAATAACCTAACCGATAGTTTAGAAATAACAGAAGAGAGTTTAAGAAACGGTAGCAGCGACGCCGTGGAAAAAGTCGATTAAACTATGAAGGTATATTTTGGCTAAGAATCTCGCGATACTCTAAAGCCATTTATTTTGTTTCTCATGGTCAAAACTATCTCGAAACTGAATATGGAACGTAACGTCAAATTAAAGAAAAACTATTAAACAATAAGCCGTCGTCCTTCACGTTCTCCAGACAACGCACAGTTTAATCATTTCACGTTGTTGTTCTGCAGAGGACGTAAACAAATTTCAAAGATTTATAACGCATGTGCACTGTCACTGTTCTGTTCATGATATTTTTTGTTTAGTGACGTTTCCGTTGCCATCACCGTCGTGGTTTTCCTAAGCTCTCCAATGGTTCAGCAATGAGGTCTGTTAACAGTTTGTGCTCACTTATGGGAGGTTTATTCTATTTTCGGATATTAATAATGAATAAACTTTCAAGATCAAGTAGCCTTCTTTCAATTTCTTTGAGATAATCTAACTATTAGTTAGGAAATAACAATGGTCCAGCGATGACGCCTGGTAACAGTTTGATGGATAACAGTAGCCTTTGTGACGTTACTTCATTTTTATCATGAATACTTTTTTTTGGTTCTGTCCAACCGCTGCTGCTTGAGGAAGCTGTGGGGCATTGGTATTCACGCAGTTTGCAAGTACAAGAAATAGATTCACACCTGGTCCGCCTAAGGCGCTTTGGGAAGCATCGGCTGTGAGGATGTTTTGCAGCTGTTCTCCCAATCACCGCAAAACTCTCTGCTTGGCCATTTGGAACCACACAACAACAAGTGGTCCACATCGAATTGGTAATTTTGGGCTGGAACTAGTTGGTTAGGCGGTACAGCTATAACTTGCAATGGGTTGTTCTAAACACGAATCAAAGAAGTGCCAGTAAACAGAAATAGCATTCTATTGTTCTGCACATGGGTGTTTTGAGCGTAATTTGTTTCAAACTGGGACCACTGACCGCCAATAAAAGCTCCTAGTTGTGGAACGGCGTTTGTGTGTCTGTAAATTGAGCATAAGCGCTTTACAGGGCTCGATTAAGTCTCTGCTGGGACTTTGTGATCTCTTTGATACAGTTGAATCTGGTAAATGTTGTCGCTGCCTTGCCTTAGTAAACCTTAAGAGTCAGGTTTGACATGTCATTTTATCATACCGAAGTTCGGCTTGTTGCAATAACATGAGTAAACATTGCACTTACATCTTTACATCTGAAGGTAACAATGTCATTGGATTTATCAAAATTACAGTTTTACGTTTCACGAACGAACATTTAATATCCTCTAATTCTGGCAGACTGAGCGTATACAGCTATCACCTCTCAACGTTAAAATGCGTGGGGCACCCTCGCTATAGACAAGTCAGATCTACACAGATCATCGGCGATAATAGACTAACGGAGGGCGCGGAAGGGAGGAGGGGGGGGGGTTTCTTGGAAAAACAAACGTTTTTTTTAAAAAAAAGTTTGAGAAAGGAAGGAAAGTACCGGGTTTACTAAAGAAACAAGCTAAGAGACCTTTAAAAATCAGTTTCAAACCATGTGATATCTTACCGGGTGCTTCTTTAGGTATTTTTCATTTGGGCACCAAACCAATCGCCGTATAGCTACGTTCAAAGTGTCAAGGGTTTGTTAATCTAGAAGGTACGTGGTCTAAAGAGTATTTGTAATTCAAATGAACAAATGCTAGTTCTATTCAGAAAATTAAACCATCCCAAATCCACCTAAATTGGATATCAACTTGAGTTATTATCAGGGAATAGATATACATGCATCGTTTGCCTTGACACTTCTTTAGCCGCAAAGACTTGACGCTCTCGTATGATAGAGAGCGGATTTCTAATCAGGTAAACACGAAATTCACTTCTCGCAAAACTTAGCAACCGATTTTTGTAGACAGCCAACGAATTTTTTTGTTACTGTTATTTTAAGAAAATATAATTTTTTTCTTAAGATTAGTTTGGAATGCCTTGCTTAAAAACTCAAAAAATTCTTCATGGTTCTTTGAAGAGTGTTATCTATTTACCTATTGAAAAATCGATAAGTTAGCAGGAGGAGTTTAAGCTTCCTCTTTGATATATTTGAGTGTGGTATTGGACGTCAAATGAACTCATTTGGAAACTAGATAGATCATTGCATTTAAGGGTGCAAACAAATTGCATATATGACCGATAAGACAACTCTCTCATCTCACTTTAAAGGCACTGTACTCCCATACTTAGCCCAGTTTAAAACAGGTAAAATTATCTCAAAGTCGTTTTGCATAGGAGATTGGGTTAGGTAAATTGACATTAACTGACACTAGCTGATACCCTGTTAAAATTGCAGCGGATACCACTGTATAGAAGGCGCTCAGGGCAAGTTGCAATCAAAAGGGCAATCCCAGAACAGTTCGATGCGTTCAGAGCCGCACTGAACCTTTCATATAGATTTAGCACCAACGGATACTTCGCCAAGACTGTTACTATCGTTTGGCAACCTCCAATTATTTCATTCGAACGTGTCAAAAACATAGGCAACGTTTTGGTCAGATGTTCATTACAAACTAATGACCAACCCGGAACTTTCAAATGCGCTCACGCGCGATGCAAAACTTGTAGTTTCATTCATAACGTTGAAAACGAGAGAGACCTAAACGATCCATTCAGGTAACAGGTAATTTAGTGTTAACAACTTAGTTGAAAACGTAAATTAGCCACTGTAAAGGGTAAAAAAGCTGACGTTTTGAACGTTAGCCCTTCGTCAGCCTTCTGAAAAAGGGCTAACGCTCGAAACGTCAGCTTTTTTACCCATTACGGTGGCTAATTTACGTTTTCAACTGAGTTGTTAACACTAGATTACCTGTTATACTCTCCCACCGACGCAACACCACAGTTTCTTTAGAAACTTACCCCCTTCATTCAGGTAACAAATCACTTCGCTTGCACCTCCACCAATGTTATCTTTTGCATAAGTTGCACCTACGATAAAGTTCGGATATAACGCGCGCTGTTATTGGTTTAAACAGCGTGCTCCATCAGAGTATAGCACTTAGGTCAAGAGAGCTAAAGCTGTCACGCCATCCGCCAGATTTTACTATGTCCGACCATTTCCCAGACTTCTCTGTGGCTTTTTTTCGCTAAGTGAAGTGAAATTTCGGAACAAGGGAGACGGCGAACAGGAGCAGAAGAAGCAAAAAAAGGTTTGTAATCATGTCAAGCGACGTAATTGACGTTATTACAACGTAAGCAGAGACGAAAATGCTCTAAGAGAAAACGAATTGGACGGTCCAAGTTTTGAAGGTTTTCACTCTCAGTTAAATTGCACGCTTACCTACCGTAATAAAAGTCAAACAGAACCAATATTTGTGTAGTATATATAGTTTCGTGTTGAAAAGTGTAGCCAAACTTGCGTAACTGTTAAAATTCATACTAATCACGACTATGTCAGAGCGACTGCAATCATGTTGGGGTCCATAGCAGCTAGCTCATCATAGTGATCTCCGATTATCGCATTGAAACAAGCCTCAGAAATTAGATCGGCTGCCCTTCAAGTAAAAAACTGATAGCTTGCTCAGATATCCTTTCCGATGCGTTGAGTGAAAGGCCACATCAGTCACAGTAGCAGATTTTAACGGCGCTGTTATCCCGAGCAATCTTTTTATTGCTGTGACTTCGGTTGTTCATTCATAGAACACGCCTCTACCTTTATAACAGAACAAAGCACAGTCGAGGCTTCTCTGTTTGTTAATTACTGTAAAAAGATATAATCGGTGAAAAAGGAAGACGACTATGCAACCGATTCCGAGAACACCCTTTTCAAGGGTGAAAACATCTTTAAAAGAACAATTATTGTTTCCAATGATTATACCAGCCAATCACTAGCGATACAGCTCCGGTTGTCTTACCGCGATCTTAATGTGATAAAACTTGCACGTGATTAGGTGATAGCTTCAAAATAATAATAATGATTGAAGTGCGGATAATTTTTTTTATTTATTTAAGTTCGTGCTGTGCATATTCTAATCTTCTCTTCTCCGCTTAGGCTGAGATAATTTGAGGGTTACTTTGTTGGCATCATCCATGCAACCTCGAAATGCTGGGAACAATTTGACCTTTGTTGGTTTGTCTCTCGCTGTATCCTTTTTAATTACCTCATGCAATTTAACCATGGAGACTTGTTGAGTAAAAGTCTCCTTTGGATCTACCCTGTTGTTTCCAAACACTGCAAAACTCCCCACGGCAACACCACCTTTGACACAACAGCCGGCCGTCCACAGAGAACTGGGGACTGTTATAGCTGGAATTTCAGGAAGATCTCTATTAGCCAATTTAGGTGCTCTACTTGGATCATTGATGAAATTACTATCTGTATTTGGATCCCAATTAACAAATGAAGTTCCAGTGAGGAGGTATAAAGTTCCATCATCCTTAGTGCAGTGATCCGTAGCATAGTCACGTATCATTCTCTCATACTGAGACCACTGACCGCTATTAAAAGCTGGTCGCTGTGGCACTGCATTCGTGTACACGAAAGTGGATCGGAAGCCGGCACCATCACGGCCTGTATCTGATAAAGTATGTGCGGGTGCCAAGTGCCCTCGATGAAATGGTAGGCTGGGATAGATCTGGTCGCTTCCTTGTTCCGCAATACCTTAAAAAGAACATGAATTATGTCAAACAGATCTACTGCTATTGTTGAGAATATTAATATTGATGTTGTGGACGCCTGCTAAACCAAACTGCAACAAACAAACTACGTTAGAGCTATTCCAGAACTACACAAACGAGACCGAAAAAGACAATCTACAGCAAGTACAAAAAAACAGTAGCTGCACCAAACTATACCATCATTAAAAAAAAACGTAAAAAAGTCCTATGTAATAAAATCAGCTTACTATCGGAAACTTGAATAAATACCTTGGGTTTGTCTCCACTTTGGGCGTGTCCATTCTTTGAAGTCTACCTTATCTTCCGTGAGAGTGTAAGCCGAGTATACTGGAATTCCAAATTGCCTGTCGAACATTGTTCCATAGTGGGTTCCATCGTCCTGGTAATCTTTTTGACAGATGTATTTTATGAAGAAATTCATTGGATCTCGCAAACCTACTGGCGGTAAATTTCCTGCAAAGTTTTTTCTGTAGCATTCGTTCGCATTGCCACCGTAAACAGTTTTTCGGTTCCCTGAGATATCTTTCCTGTTAGCTGGTGGAAACAACAACAGCAACAACAAAAACATTTAAAATGAAACTGCCCTCATGATACTCTGGTCATGGCTATGTGAGAAAATAAGTTATCTAACAACTTTGTTGTGGTATTTCATAGATCATCTCAGTTGTCACTTGCATGTAAATTTTCTAGGTATATGCACTCGCCTACAGGCTCGTCTATATACAGAGGAAATCCAAGTCAATCTTGAGATATTCCATGATATTGTGCTGAAAAGTTTTACAAGCGTGTTATATTTTAAACGAGCATCTAATGCAAATAAATTAAAACAATCTAGCGAAGAACCCATCTATCACACAGACGTTGGTATTTAAAGAGCCCGATGAAGAGATTTGAGATATTTTTCTTGACCTATTACTTTTAAGAAAAAAAAACTTTCCAAACAAGCGTTTTAATTTATTTTCCTAAATTTTTTTTTTACACAAAGAACATTTAAGGAAATTCAATCAATAATTAATTGCCAGAGATTAGCTTTATTTTATGTACAGCGTGATTCATTAAAGCACTCCGAAAACTCAAATTTTTTCTGACTTTATTTTTAACTATAAGCTAGGTTTGATGACCCGGAAGAGAGTAAGTTCTTCTCCATGAAACAGAAGACCCCTATAACTGTTAAAACAGTCTTTTTATCTCGTAACAAGGTAAAATGTGTAGTTCTTTAATACAAGAATTTGATTTCTGGCGGAAATGGTCGCAAAAACGGCGATAAAAGACGTAAACAGCCAGTCAACGATATAAAGGTAAGGTTTTCCTCCCTTCAATCTGGGTCTTGCGGTTCCTGTTATATGAATCAGCCATGCGGTTTTTTATACAATTTCAGTTTTTAAAACAAGAACAGTTGTTTATCTTACCCTTTTTCAGTTTCTTTTGCAAGGGGCTACCATTAACGACATTGGCCGCTATCAGTCCAAACGTTAGCAGGACATGTAAAATCTTCGCATGAAATACCTTCATCTTAGCATGAGAGTCAGCAGAAGAGGATAGTAATCTTCATCTACTGCGTTAAACGAATGATAAACACCTGGTTGTAACAAGTACAGCTTACAACTTGTATAGGGTACAACTTCCTTATGGAAGTTTTCAGGTTGAAGGGATAGTCCAATAGCACAGCAGAAGTCTCAATATAGCTGGTACTGAGCACAGCAGAAGTCTCAATATAACTGGTATTGCATGAGTGAAGCCAACTGAGTAATTTTATTCCTCATAAATTAAAATCTTTTATTTTTCTTTGGTGCGACTTGAAACCAGTTCTTAACTATTGATTACCCCTTTAAAGAACTCTTAAAGAACTTCGAATTTTTAAGAACAACAGTTTAGAAAGATAAATGATCCAATCTTTCCTTTAAAAACAGTTAAAAAAAGGAAGGAAGGTACAGGGTTCATTGAGGAAAAAAAATTAAGAGATCTTTTCAAACCAAGTGATACCTTAACGGGTGCTTTCAGTGGTTTTTATTTGGGTACCAAACCGACCGCCCTATAGCTGCGCTCAAAGTGTTTGGGGATCTAAAGAGTATGTGTAATTCAATTGAAAAAATGGTAGTCCTAATCCAGAAAATAAAGCCATCCCAAATCCACCTAAATTGGATATCAACCTGAGTTGTTATTATGGGATAGATAAACAAGCATCATTTGCCTTGACCCTTGTTTAGCTGCAAAGACTTGACGCTCTCGTATGAAGGAGAACTGGTTTCAAATCGATTTTTAGCGAAAAATAGAGTTAAACCTACGGGTCTGAAATTTTTAATGAAGTACCCGTTTAAAGAACTTTACAGAAGCAGGTAAACACTAAATCCACCAGCAAAACTTACTGAAATTATAACTACCAAATTTCGCCTTCAACTGACTAATTTTTCTGTAGCTGTTGTTTTAAGAAAAAAAATTTATATTTTTTGGATGAGTTTGGAATGCCTTGTTTCAAAAACCCAAACAATTCTTTTGTGGTCTTTTGAAAAGTGTTATATATCTAGTTACCTATTGAAAAATTGATAAGTTAGTTGGAGGAATTGCAGCTTCCTCTTTGATATATCTGGGTGGGGTGTTGGACGTCAAATTACCTCATTGGGAAACTAGATAGATCATTGTATTTAAGTGTACGAACAAATTTCATATATGACCGATAAGACAACTCTCACATTTCACTTTAAAGGTATTGTACTCCCACACTTAGCCTAGTTTAAAGCTGGTAAAATTATCTTAAAGTCGTTTTATACAAGAGATTAGGTTTGGTTAACTGAAATTAGCTGATACCCTGTTAAAATTGCAGCGGGTATCATAGTATAGAAGGTGCTCTGGGCAAATTGTGATTAAAAGGACAACCCCAGAGCCGTTCGATGCGTTCGGAGCTGCATTGAACCTTTTCTATAGATTCAACACCAACGGATACTTCATCAAGGATACCACAGAAAGACTGTTACTATCGTTTCTCGACCTCCACTTATTTCATTGAAACGTTACAAAAACATAAGCGACTTTTTGGTTAGACGTTCATAACAAACTAATGTCCGACCTGGAACTTTCAAATGCCCTCACACACAATACAAAACTTGTCCTTCCATTCATGACGCTGAGAAAATACGGAGACCCAAACGATCCATTAAGACCACAGATCACTTCACGTGCACCTCCACCAATGTCATCTATTGCACGAGTTGCACTTATAATTGAAGTTTGGATATAACGTGCACTGTATTAGGTTGAAACAGCGTGCTCTATCAGCGTATAGAACATAGAGCAAGAGAGCTAAAGCTGTCACGCCATCTGCCAAATTGTACTATGTCCGACCATTTCCTGCACTTCTCTGTAGCTTTTTTTCGTTAATTGAAGTAAAATTTCGGAACAAGGGAGACGGCAAATAGTAACAGAAGAAAGTTTGTAATCATGTCAAGCGCCGTAATTGACGTTACTATAACTTGAGCAGAGACAAGTTTTGTAGGTTTTCACTCTCAGATAGATTGCAAGCTTACGTACGGTAATAAAAGTCAAACACAGTCAACGCCCGTGTAGTATATATAATTTCGTGTTGAAAAGGATAGCCAAATTGGCATAACTGTTAAAATTCATGCCAATCACGACGGTGACAGAGAGACCGCGATCATGCTGCGATCGCGGCTAGCTTATCATGGCGATCTCCGATCATTGCAGTGAAGCAAGCCTCAGAAATTAGATCGGCCGCCCCTTAAGAGAACAACTAAGAGCTTGCTCTGATATCCGTTCCGATGCGTTGAGTGGAAGGCCACATCAGTCACAGCAGCCGAGTTTTACGGTGCTGTCATCCTGAGAAATCTTTATATTGCTGTGAATTCGGTCTTTTTCATTTATAAATCACGCCTTAAGCGGTTTGTTCTCTAATTGTCATGTGAAAAGGAATATAAGCGATCCTTGTATAGTTATGAACACTACTGAACACTAATGAGCGCTGCACCGATATCGCAAAAGTCATGGGTTCAAATCCCGTACGGACCTGATTTTTTTTTCAGGCCTTATTTCAACTACTAGTTCAGTAGTGTTCATAACGGCGAGGATCGATTCTATATTCGTTTCTTCAATCGCAGTGCACATATATGATTTTCATGTATTTACAGCCATTATTCCTCATGGAAGTTTGCAGGTTGAATGGATTGTCCCCTAGCACAGTAGAAGTCTCAATATAGCTGATATTGCCCGAGTGAAGCCAAATGAGTGATTTTATTCCTCATAAATTTATTTCCTAACAACTGAATACCCCGTTAAAGACCTTTCTAGCTTCGGATTTTCAAGATTTTTAAAATGTTCAAGATATTTAAAAACCCTTTTGAAGTATTTTGAATATTTGTCAGAGCCTAATGAGTGGACAATTCTTTTGACAAATTTGACTAATAAAACTATTTCAGAAAAACAAACAAATCCAATCTCTCCTGAAAAAACTCTTTTAAAAAGGTGGAAAGGCACCAGATTTATTGAAGAGACAAATTAAGAAGCCTTTTGAAATTTCAGTTTCAAACCGTGTGATATCCTAACGGGTGCTTCTTTTGGTGCTTTTTATTTGGGTACCAAACCAACCGCCATATAACTGCGTTGAGGGTTTGTTAATTTAGATGTTACATGGTCTAAAGAATATTTGCAATTTAATTGATAAAAATGCCAGACCTAATATTAAAAATTAGTCCCTCCTACATCCAACTAAATTGGATATCAACGTGAAGTACTACTATGGAATAGATAAACATGTATCATCAGCTTGGACCCTCGTTTAGCCCTAAAGACTTGACTTGACAGGAGAACTGATTTGAAATCGATTTCTGGCAAAATTGAGAACAAGTTATAAAAAAAGCCCCTAGAGAGCAAAAATCTGTTTACAACTTTGAATACGAAAGAAAAGAGTTTAAACTACGGGTCTGACATTTTTAGTGATGGACCCGTTTAAAGAACTTTATTGAAGCCGGTAAACGCAAAATTCACTTTTTGCAAAACTTACTGAAATTATAACTACCAAATTTCGCCTAAACTAACAAATTTTTCTGTCGCTGCTGTTTTCAGAAAATGGAATTATTTTTTTCAAAAACCCGAAAAATTATTTCGTGGTCCGTTGAAGAGTGTTACCTAGTTACCTATTAAAAAATTGATAAGTTAGTTGGAGGAGATAAGCTTCCTCTTTGATATACCTAGGTGTGCTATCAGACGTCAAATTAAATCATTCGGAAACTGGATAGATCATTGCATTTAAGTGTACAACCAAATTAAACATATGACTGATAAGACAACTCTCACATATTACTATAAAGGCACTGTACTTCCACACAGAGATAACCATAAAAACGCAGACATTGTCAGTGGGATTAGCCCAGTTTAAAACAGTTAAAATGATTTCAAAATACCTTTGCACAAGAGATTGAGTTAGGGTGACTGACATGTGGATATGTTTATTAAGACCTCTCCCAGTATAAATAACTGAATTATAGGTCTGGCCAGCAAAGAATAATAAAGCAATAACACAAAATATATAGCTACGGAGAAATTGTTTTTATTAGCAACCAACATGCATATAATGGTAAAAATAGTCATGTGCAATGCATAAAGCGTATTTGCTTAAGACAAAATTCTTTAACCTGTTGGTCGAAGTGCCACAGCTATTTGAATTTCTTCCTCCAGGTCTTAGTGCTTAATTGTATTGAGCATCTGCTATGCGACTACAAACGAGCTTCTACACGGGGCTATCTGGTTTAAGACTGATCCTTCTGTCTTGAAGTGATTTTAAATTACTCACTTTTAGGACATCAAAATATTATAAGGTAGGAAAATATATTGAAGGGTGCGCTTTTGCACATTAGCTAATACCAATACAGAAATATCCCTCACTTACTTTAGAGTTTCTTACTTCTCTGGATGTCGGGTGATAACCTTAGCAAGCGCATCATACTCTAAATAAAGATGAAAGTCAGTATTCAAAAGATGTTACCCTTCTTGTCTTAAGCCTGGAACCAGGAAATTCCAATTTTCTCTCAACAAAGACGGGAGTGGAGTTGTTATGATTGGAGTTGATTTTCGCAATTGATGAAAAAAAATTAAGTTTGTCTCCGAAGTATTCTATTAAGAATTTCGAAGTTTACAGGAGGAGGGCAGAATTGAGAGCAAATAAAGCACCACAGTAATCAAAATGGCCCTTTATAATTTCTATTTAAGGACAAGTAACAATTTGGTAAAATTGCAGTGGTTAACCTTGTATAGAACGCGTTCTGGGGAAATTGCAATTAAAAAGGCAATCCCAGAGACACCCTACTAATACACAATCTAAATGGCTAACACCTACGTAATCTAAATTTAGATCATGGGGTTCAAGCCGTCCTAAATGATCATCTAAGTCTTCCCAGTAGCTCATTAGATATGCATAAACATTTCGACCAATCTGATCCTTCACTCTTCGGTGAACGAGCCAAGGTGATCGCTACGAAATGCGTCGGTTAAAGCCCATTTTCTTAGATGTGAAGAATATTGGGCGCGATGGAAAGAAAACCACCGTATCGATTCCGCTGAGAGTGGATCTTGGGAA